CTTTCTTTTCTTCAGCCTCCTTCCTCTGTCGTGCTTCCTCTTCAGCCTTCAGCTGGGCCTTGAAATGGAGAAAGGTAAAATTTAATTTGGCACATGTGACCTTTTCAGAACATACAGACCTCTACGCTTTCCCAGTATTCCTCTAGTACTGACCAGCATCTGAAACTTCAGAAGAAAGCAGCCTTTGTCACGTACTGGACATGATCTGTGCTGGACAATGAACTGTGGAAAGGACAGGAAGGAGGGACTGTTCTTTCAACTACCTATACATGTATCTTTCTACTACCTATATATAAATATTTATCTCTCTCTTTCTTTGCCCTAAGTTATAGTATTTGCCCACTCTTCCCGTAAATAATTTAAACCACACACCAAGTTACTTATTGATGACCTGATTGCTGAAGTCAGTTCTGAGTCCCTGGGCTCTGCTCTGAAGCTTTACTTCTAAATGCAAAGCAGCATTACAGGTACTCAAATGTTTCTTTCCCCAAACACTGAAGATCAAAGAAGTTGTTTTACTTCAGTACTGGTCATACTTGGCCCAGTGTTCTTCTCTGAGTGTTTATCTACCCCTCTTGCAAGCCCCACTCCACTTTCATTTCACAAAGGGGCGAATTTAATTCAGTTCATTTCAGAGAGCTGGAGCACCTCTCCTACGAAGACAGGATGAGAGAGTTGGGCTGTTCAGCCTGGAGAAGAGAAGGCTCCAGGGAGATCTTATAGCAGCCTTCCAGTACCTAAAGGGGCTACAAGAAAGCTGGAGGGGGACTTTTTACAAGGGCATGTAGTGATAGGACAAGGGGTAATGGATTTAAACTGAAAGAGGAGAGATTCTCATTAGATCTAAGGAAAATTTTTACAATGAAAGTGGTGAGGCACTGGAACAGGTTGCCCAGAGAAACTGTGGTTGCTCCATCCCTGGAAGTGTTCAAGGCCAGGTTGGATGAGGCTTTGAGCAACCTGGTGTAGTGGAGGGTGTCCCTGCCCCTGGCAGGGGGGTTGGAACTAGATGATCTTTGAGGTCCTTTCCAACCCAAACCACCCAAACCATTCTACGATTCTATGAAAGCTTTTGCTCTTGCTGTATGCATCAAAGGCCTAAAAGCCACACCAACCATAACGCATGATTACTATGATTGTGCTTCTTGATCTCTAAGATCATGGCAGCTGCAGCTGAGGAAACTCTGATTCTTGTGTGTCCGCTCTATGGTTAGTGTTCTCTAAGGCTTGTTTCAGCTTCCTGCCTATGTGAGCGTCTCTCTCCTGCTTGGAGAAGGAACGCACACTGTTTGTTTTAGGACCCCAGTTCTGAGCCTTCTAATCCTATGCAACTTACTATCCATGTTTTCAGTAACAGCTCAATGCCCTGATGCTAAGAAGGCTCCTCTGTTGGATGTGTATCACAGAATTTGTATATTAACTGTCAGTATCTTCTGTCTCCAGCAAAGATTTGCTAGAAAGATGCAGGATTTTTACTAGGTCAGACTGCGCATCCTCAAGCTGCACAGGACCAGACAGAAAAGGCAGGGGAGGGGAACCCCACCATTGCCAGGTCCAATCAAGTGGATCTCTGCATGCACTTCCTCCCTTCCCATCCTTGGCAAGGACAGTTACAGTCATGAGGTAGGTGTGAAAGCGGTGGTGGGGTGGTAAGGGAGACTGCTCCTAGAATTCCAACTGCATCAACATGAAGCGTCTGCCTGCAATATGGCAGGGCTAGTGCCGTCACTGTATGCAAATGCAGCAATAACTTCTTTTGATGTGTGCTGGACATCTGCCTTCTCAGATGTCTATAAAACTCAAGCTATAAAACTCTTCTTTTGGATAAAAGACCTTTTCTTGGTCACTGGCTCTGGGGTTAAAACAGCATTTCTTGTAACTGGGATGGTGCGAGAGAGACTTCGTTTAAACAATTTTTTACTTTCCTTACCAGTTTCTCCTCTTCTCTTTGTTTTTTGGCTTCTTCTAGTTTCCTCCTCCGTTCTGCCCGCTGAGTTGCTCTCTCCTCCATTGCTACAGAAACATGAGGGCATAAGGCTTAGTGGAAATGAGCTGTGTGATAATGGCAGAAGTTTAGTGAACAAGAATGACAACTACTCTCTACTGCCAGGCCCCCGTTGACCTGGCAACACCAGCACCAAGGGACTTGCTTTCTGCTGCCTCTTACGGCTGGCAGTGTCATGAACAAGGAACCCATAAACATTTATAAGATGACTCCGGACTACTGTAATTAGATTCACTCCACCCTCCTTGGTTGACAATCACGGCCATGAAGCTCAATTATGAAAGGAGTTATGTCCAGAGGTTGTATCCCTGTCTTTCCTGGTTGAGTGCTGAGGCTCAGGGAACCTGATTTAGCAGCAATTGCTATGAGGTCTCCAGTAAGCTCCTGCTGCTTGTTTAAAGAGCAACTTTCTCCCCTGCCACAGTGACACACAGGTACCCAGCCTCATTAGTGAGAAACTACTGCTTAACGCTTCTTTTGGGAGATGAACTGCAATGTGGTGCTCTTGCTGGCCATCAGCGAAGGTGTTGAAGTGCTGACATGACCACCCAGAATATGCAGTGGAATTGAGAACCTGTGTTCACTTCTCCTGAAGTCACAAATGAAGCACAGGCTGGAGCAATCAATAACTGGGGGGCATTTACGTGTTTTGACCACAGTGGCCTTCCTCAGGTTTTCCTCTCAGCTGTCCTAGGGTTCTCTGCCAAGGAAAATCATCCAGTGATAACTTTATTCACTGATTTTTTTTTGGGATCTTCAAACACAAGCACCTGAGTGCTCTGAAAATATGCTTACTGTCCCTAAGCTGTACAGAGTTCAAGCAAATCAGAGTGAGTGATGGCTTGCACTAGGTAGCATTGGAGCTGAACATGGTCAGTTAATGAAAAGCAACTATTAATGCCCAGTTATCAGGGCCAAAAAGCTCTGGTGATCCTAAAACTGTTAAATTATCACAATGATCATATTCCAGACAGTCTTTCAAGCAGGCTGTGACCACCCCCCACTTGATATGGAATAACATGACCTAGGGATATAACAGAACCTGATCTTAATGTACTGTAAGAAGAGGCTGTGCTGCATGTCTAACATGTATATGCTGTTCCTGCACAGCCAGAGAAGGGGAGATATCTCACAGAAGGTGGGGATCTGGAGCTCCTTCTCCAGCCTAGCTACTATTGTCTCACAAAACCTTGGGTAGGCACTTAATTCCCTTTGAAATCTCAATACCTCTGTCAAAGTTAGATGAAACTGGTCAGTTTAAGTGTTACTGGGATGAGCAATGAAGGCAACAAGACTGACAGCAAAAAACCCTGTAGAGCTTCTCTCTCTGAGTCTTGTCACACCAGAAACAATCAATCCCATGCGTTAGGACTTGAGGGGCTTGCAGTGGCCCAGGTTTTACAGATGCCTGACTTGGGCATGAAAACAGCTCACCCTCTCACAGTGCTGGTCAGGCTGGGAAACCAAGTGCAGAGTTTTACTTGCACACTGTCATCAACCAGCAAGGCTGAGGCGAAGAGAGGTTTCCAGACAAGCTGTTGAGAAAAGTGGTCTGGAACAGTCTTTGCCATCTAGAACAATACCTTTCAGTATCGGATGAGCTGAGGTCAGCTGGCTGGAGGGCCTCCTGCCTTGCATCACTGCCCTTGTGTTTTCTAGCCTGTGAGAAACAGATGGACAAGAAAGGAAAGAGTAAAGAAATTAATCAGTGATGTCTCACACCTACCACCTATGGTTGAGAAACAGGCTTTGTAGTTTCTATCCTCTGTTGTGCTGCATTTTCATTCTGAATCCCCAATACACCTTTCTTCTGCTTGAACTGGGATTAACGATGGATGCTTGCAAAGGAGCCGAGTACCCAGGGCTGCTACATGTTCTGAAATACTGAGAATGACACTCTTTTTTTCCCTAACTAAATAAATCCCTGCTGCTACTATGTGTGACACTCTAGCATTGCTGTTTCCAGGTGGATCCTGTATGGATCACATGATGTTGAGCCATTGCAAAAAGGGAGAAGGACGGAGAACTGTGGCCAGCCCGATACTACCCTTGAGGCTGAGTCACAGGTGAGAGGAAGAGCAGACAGCGCTCGCATGACTGAAGTGTGCCTGGCAAATCCTGGCTCAACTTGAGTGGGAATGAGACGTTGACTAATTAAGCTTGCGTTATTGAGGGCATATACCTCAAATGGGTTGTATTCTTGCATCTGGATTGTTCTTACCTCTTTGTTTTTTCCTCTCTCGTTTGCGAAGCAGAGTTGGTAAGCGCCTGGGTAACAGCTGTGACTTGTGCAACAGCTGTGACTTGTGCTGCCTCGTCTTTAGCTTTGCTCAGCCTCTGGTTTTGCTGCAGTTGAAGGATCAGCTCTCGCTGTTTCTGAAGCTGCTGCCTCTGCTTCTCAATCAGACGTTGATGGAAAGCATGATGGTCCTCAAAATGGCAACCAGAAGCAGGAGCTGTCTTTGGACCACGTACTGGAAATTGCTGGGACAAAGTGGCTATTTGATTGATGTACGTAGCCTGGTCCTGGGTGCTGGAGGCTGCGTGTTTTAGGGTAATCTCCCAGGAAAATTTGAGTTTGCTGGAGGAAGGAGATGTGTAAGCAGCATCCCAAGAAGAGTGGTCTCTGGTCTGGTCAGGCTCTTTCTGTGTGAGACAAGTTTCGGTTGGCTAAGGTGGGAAAAAAAAAAAAAAAAGAGGAAATTTTGGCATTGATTAAAACCAAGCACTCTTCTGCCCTTGCTACATAGTAAGTGTTTCTTTAGTGGAAATCTGGTGAGATGCCTGAGAAGTAGGGTAATCTCAGCTATGCAATCTTTATCTAGTTCCTAGCCAGGGCAGAAGGGTCCTGTTATGCACAAAATGGGAGACTGTGGGAAAGAACTGGTAAGAAGCTGTGTGCCATTTCACTGGGAGGAAGAAATCCTGATCAGGCAAGAGCTCTGGCAGGAATATATCCTGACTATTTGGTTAGGGAGCATAGCTCAGGACAGCTCATTTCTCAGGGGTTAGCTCATCTCCTCAGGGATTAGCACACTCCCTTTTGGACTGTGTTGTCCCCACTCAGCGCTCAGATGGGTAATAAAGGAAAAAACAGTTGTCGAAGTGATCTACGTGACTGATCTACTGGACAGCCCCTTTTCAGATGGAAGTCTACAAGGTGCTGCTTCCTCATGCCTCTCCTCCAGCTTTGGTAAATATTACTGTGAAACTGGTGCACTGTGTGTAATTGTGCTGTGCCTTTTCTGACACGTGGCTTTCTCTGACGAGGAATCAGATATAAGGTCTGCTTTCTGATTCCTAGGTCAAACCCCAAATTCAGTCTCATCCTTCCAGCACAAATTTTGCCAGTGCATCAGAAGAAAAATACGGTACTGCTAGGATGATATAAGCACTGTAGGAGATCAACTTTTGCTGACAATTAAGCAAATGAAAAGCTTGACCTGTAATATGTGTGTGTGAGCTCTCGTGCTGGGATCAGGACACTGCTGTGGTACAGGATTTATAGACAGAAAGGAAGGGCAGGTGCTGACTTGACAAATGACAATTCAAGGCTCTGATTCTCCTTTCCTACCTCCTTGTGATGCGCATTATCCTGAAACAGACAGTGACAACATTTCCCCCCCCATGTTTAAAAGCCAGACAGCTGCACTGGCATGACAAAATCTCTTGTCATGCAGTCAAGCATTATTCTTTTTCAGTCTGAGCAGACATCAAAGATGTAACTGATCTCTCAGCAGACGTGATCTGGGGGTGGGACGCTCACTGCGACTCTCAGTACGTGAAGGGTAGTTCTCTGGCGGCATTAGGGATTATTTTTAAAACTCATCCATTGTCCTTTTTGCCACATTTGCCTCTTATTTTTAAAGACTCCTCTCCTGAGCAGTTGCAGGCAGGTATTTGGGGGTCACCCTGGGAAAGAAGCCTTCCTCTGGGACAATGCACTCTTTATTTCAGATTGCACAAAAGTACTTTGTAAAGAGTACCGAGATGCCAACAGACAAAACTACACGGGAAGGATTTACCTTGTCTTGCTGCAAATCTCGATGATGGTTTACTTCTGCTGTCTCAGGCTTGTTAACCTCCAGTGGCCTGTTCAGACCACCCTTCCCCAGGGACACTGCCTCCAGCAGCTGTGCCATCTTCCTCTTCGTCTCCTCCCTCTTGATCTGCAGCTCTCGCTTTTCTGTCTCTGCGTGGCTCCAGCGCTGCCATGCCAGAAAGCAGCGGCACAAAAGCCGTCGCTGGTTGTGCTCCACAGACAGTTGTGTTTTCCTGAATGTGGAAGCACTTGTGTTACGATAGGAGTGAGGCTTTTGCCCAGGCCTGCCTGAAACAACTGCGCCAAGTACAGCAGTCCAGGCCATGGCACGAGGCCCCATAACTTCCCAAGTCTTGTTGCTTAAGGCCCTTCAAAGCTCTACAGTGTCCCTCCAAGGAGCAGTGGGAGGGCAGAAAGGATGCCCGCTGCTTTGGAGTAAGTAAGTTTCCCTGGTTCGCATTTTGCAATTTCCTGTGTCATCCTTGGGCTGTAGGATAGGTGCAAAAGAGGTATCCTGTTCCTTGCCAGCTGCATAGAGGGAAGCTGCAGTGCCTTACCACACAGCCCGCCAGACACCTGCAAGAGCAAAATTTTCTCTGGCTGACAGGGAATTCATCCAACAGCCTCCTTAATGAAAGGCACTGGCCAAAATGATCTCTGCTATACTGCCACTGAAACAGGAAATAACTATATTAATCAGGAATAAATATGGCACCTCATGTTCTCTAGGGTCTAGAGCAAGCCAGGGTGAGATTTCCAGGAAAGATACCTACAGCGAGAGCAAGCAGCAAGCTTGTTGGAAAGCGCTAAAGCTCTTGTTTATCTCTGTCCTCCTTTTCATCTGTGCCACAACGCCTCTGGCAGACTGCAGGCAATGTAGCAATTTTCTCAGCTTCTTCCTGCGGGCTAACTGGCAAGCCCCTCTTACAGTCCCTGAGCACTGCTCTGCCCAAGTACTTCTGCAGTAGGAGGAATTCCACGGTGTAGAGGTCACTACCTGTTCTGATCTTGGAGATGAACTTCCAATTGCTGTGTCTCCCGCTCCACTTTCTGGGCCCAGTTATAGTTTCTCCAAGCTCGTAGGGCCTTCAGTTGGCACTTCCAGTCAGCAAGGGCTCTGGCTTTTTCCATTTTAATTCTGTACTCCAGAATGACTTTCAGCCAAGCAGAGAAATGTCGTTGCATGCACTGCATGGGAAGAGTTTCAGAAAACCAGTGAGCAAGACATAGCCCATCACACAAATGCTGATCCTCTCTCCACCCTTCCCCCTTATCTGACTTTCCTTTTTGAGATTCTTTTTAGAATCCCATGTTCCACAATAACCTTGAGGGATAAAAAAGAAATAAGCAGAAAAGAGCATGTGCAGGTCTTCTACAAGAAGCAGAAAGCGACTAGAAAGATAACGTCATGGGGCTCTATGCTTTTGAGTGAAACACACTTAGTTCAGTGTAAAGGAATAAAATGGGTGAAGAACATAGAATTTCTAGAGACAGGAAAGATGTTTCAAAATCTAGAACATGTCTAAGATGCTACAGGTAAGAACATTTCTGTGGAGAACAGTTCACATATATCTCTACGGACCACTTGTTTTCTTTTTTTAACTTAGACAAAAATGAAGACACTTCCCAGTGTGAATTTATGACACGACCTAAGCTCGCCCTTGTTCCAGTAGGAAGCCAAACCTCTCCCCTATTGTATAACTAGACTCGCTGCCTCTGGGAGCGATATACACTGCACAGAACAGCAAATTGCTATCTAATCTACCCCATAATTCTAGCCCTGTCACTGCAGACACTGTTTATTTTGACCCTCCAAATGGGTCAACTTGGAGGACTCGGCTGTTCGCCTTTTGTCATGATGCCTTGTTTTAATTGCTTTCCTCTCAGTCACTGAGATCTCCAAATGGAGACTTACAAAAAGGGCAAAATGTCACCGCATTAGCTATTTCTTTTGGCTTTAGCAAAATTATCCAAGTGTCGCTATTGCTTAGCTCAGCTAAGCTGTGGCTTCTCACATGATGCCAGCTCTAAATTGGTCTGTGATTTCATGCAGGCTGATCTTCTCAGCTTAGACTGTGCTGGAGAGAGGTTGTGTACTGCTAAACAGTAGCCAAGCACAAATCCAGCAGGCGTGCAGATGAAGTGAGCCAAGGGCAGAATCACCATAAAAGCTACAGGATTCTTCTATAAAAAAAAAATCTAGATGTAGACAAGTAGATATTAGTGATGATAACTGCGCTATTAATTAAAAACATGAGGTGATGGATGGCATTCATACCTGCACTCAGGGAAATTTATTCCCTTTGCTGAGACTGTCCATATAAAATCATTCAGTACAAAAAGATGGCTCTTTAATTGCAAGTATTTGATATGACTAGGTGTTTAACCCCGAGCTGGCCATGGTAGCAGCATAATGAGGGTAAAAGAAATAGGTTCCTACTAGGAATTATTAAAGTCTCCATGTTTGCCTCAAAAGAGCTGTTGCAATATCACAGAATACCCTATTGCACCCAGCGGGAGTGAATCCTTGAGGAACTTGTTACTGTGGATATGCTGGCACTCTCCAGCTCTTGGAGACCCAGCTCAAAATTCATCCTAGGCCTCCGCACTTCTCTTTCCTCTCCCTGCTCCTGCATCAGGGTCTGCAACACAATCTTTAAAATATCTTCCCATACACACACTAAGGGCTTCTCAGGCCCTTTTGTGCCACTTTCCACTTTTACTTCCTTCCTCAAGGGAAGACAAATCTTGCTCCACTGCCTCCTCTGTACATCTGCCTGTTTCTCAATGGCGGAAGCCTTGTTGTTCACAACTGTCCTGAGAGCCACATCTTTTCCACAATTCTAGTGACACCTCCCACTGAGTACACCTGAGGACAGATACACTGGGAATGGAAGATCAGGATTTCTTGCTCCTAGTCTTACAAGATACTTTTTGCCCTGCTCTTCTTCTTGGTATCAGGAGGAGGGCTTGGAAGAAGTAAAAAATTCTGATAACCACGTCTTTTTACTTCAGCTTTGCGAACAGTAGCGGAGGGCAGGCAACTCAGAGTCTCAGATAAAGAAGGGGGATGCTCACTCTCTGCTTATTAGTATGAATCCTGTGCAGCAGCTCCTGAGCCCTTCTCTGTTTCTCCTCTTCTTGCACTTCTTTCTTCAGGACCAGGGGTGGTGATGCAGCAATAGATACATTCTGCATTGACAGCTTCTGATTTTTTTCTTGTCTCTTCCCCTCCCTGGAAAGTGAACAAACATACAGATGTAATACAATGAGGAAAGTACTAGAGCACAGTTTTCACTGTCTTTTCAGCCAATCCTAAGAGAATCACCTCTACAGCTTAGAAAGTTGCTGATTATTGAACTCAACCTTCTTAGAAAACAGCCTCTGTCATGATTTAGGCCCCCAGTCTGGAGCGTTTCCAAAATGTAACAGGCAGAAGAAAATAGTAAGATTTCAGTAAAGCACTTGCATGAGAAGATTTAGGATCTCAGGGCTGCCTAAGTAACCAAATGGCATCCCTACAAGTCACATCTCTGGGACAGTCCAAGCTCAGCACAAGCAAAAATCTGTCTCTGCAGAATTCTCAGCCAAGAACGCTCTTTCTTCCCTCATAGCAGAGGAAGTATCCTAAGCGCTAGACTTTCAACACAGACTGTTCTAGGCAGGCTAGCAACTAATTCTATTTTTTGGGTGTGTGTACTGGCTTTCACGCTGCATTAGACACTAACAAGGCTGCATGTGGCCACAGTGTTGGTGGAGAGAACGCACGGTGGTGCACACACACTCCTACTCTGTGATTCAGTGTACACACACTGGTCATGGATCTTTACAGCTGTGTCTTTAGCCTGTCTCCTCACTAATGACAAACTCTGCCCTTGAAGTTGGTAACAAAAGATTAAAAGGTTTTGGGAGAGTTCGAGGGACAGCAGATGTTTCCTTTGGGACCACTACTCCTCTTGCGTTTAGCAAAAGGAGCTGATAAGAGAAGCGTTCTTCATATGGTTCTTTCCAAGCCCTGCCCCTCCCTCTTACGTTATCCATGCTTCTGCCATGGTGTGCCTCTTCCCAGCCATCTCCTTTTGCAACTTCACCATTTCACTCTGGATCAACTCCTTCTCCTTCTTGGCCTTCAGGGCCTTCCTTCTGTCCTCCTCCTGTGCTTGGAGCTTGGCCTTGGACAGAACCGATTTCTTCAGGGACTTTTCTTGTCTCTGAAGCTCTAATGCCTTCTGACGCCTCATTCGGTTTTCTTTCACCTGGGAAGGAGGAAATCAGCAAAAGTCAAAGCAGGTGCCAAAGGCTGCAGAATTTGAGGTTCATGGTACACTGACAGGGTGGGTCACTGTCCACCTTTCACATGAAGCAAGCAACCCTATCTGTAGCTGGCACTGACTGGACTGGTTCTGCTCTCAGATCAGCAAAAAACTCCATTTAAGACAATGGGGTTAAACCAGTATTACTTGATAGGAGCAAGTTCGGAACTGGCTGCCATGGAGGCTTTTCCTGTCAGTCTTCAGAAAGGCAGAAAACCTGACTGGATACAGTGAAAGCTGACTGTGCAAGCTACTGTGAATGGCCAATGCAGTAACGCTTCAGCTCAACTGTGGAAGAGTATCCTCAGGTGTTTGCCTCCAAGCCAGGGATTAGTGCAGGTTGGGAGAGAATACTGGGGAAGTGTCACTGAGCATTTACTCTAATCCTATAATCCTCCCTCTTATTCCTTTTAACTGTGCTGCCTTGCCTGCTCACCTGCTTGTGTCTGAGTTCCATGATTATTCGTGGATCTACAAGTTTTTGTTTTTCCTTCATGTCTTCAAGTCTAAGTTTTTCCTCTATCCCACAGTTTACAACTTCACTCTGCAAAAGATGCTGCAGGTATTCTTGGACAGAAGAAGTTTCCAGTTCATGTTCCAGATAGCTGCACAAGTCTGAAATGAGGAATTCAGATTATCTCAGGCTAGTCTGAAATGAATAAACCCCTCTGTCTCAGATCACAAAGCCTAATGTAATTAAAGGGATCACTTTCCCAGACTCTGAATGCGTTTCTGATGAAAGCGGACACGCTGACTGCACTCCATTTATCCCCAGAGTCTTAATCAGTCTCCCATTGAACACGCTAGAGCAGTAACAACATTTCATCCATTTTTTACTGCCTTGCCGCTGAGCAGCTCAAATGGCTGTATAAATTTGGCAGGCCTCACAAATACATGAAAGAAGTAAAATTCCTCCTTCACGAAGGGAGACACCGAACGTTTCTGAGGTGCATTTGTGCAGCCCTACAGCAAGCTGCTGTAAGAGCTGGGAGTGAAAAATTGTCACCTTTAATCTTGCTTCTACTGAGCCCGCTATCCTGGCCTCAGAGCAACTTTTACCTCTCATTCTGCCAAGCTGGGAGGCCTGCTCCCTCCCCCAGCACATCCTTGGGAAGGAAGCCAGGAACTGCTTTGCTGTGCTCTCACCATCAAACCGCTCACACTTCAGAGGGGCTGCAGAAGGCTTTTCCAGGAGGCCAGAGTCAACGTCCTCTTCTCCATCACTCATCAGCTCCACTTCCAGTTTGGGCTTCATCCAGTTACTGAGCAGCTCTTGGGCTATCATAAAGAAAGAGACTGATGACTTTACTTGCTTAAAAAATATATGGGTAAGTGTAAACTAGCAAGACTCTGTCTCTGGGACAGTTATATCACATGCTGGGAAGGCTGTCTAAAATGACTGAAAGCTGATCTGCACCAGAACATGGAATAAGGCTAATAGTTCCGTTCTCATCTTCTTGATCTATAAAAGAAGAGGAAGAGAAGGTGGCAAACTTTTTCCCCGTCACTGTCACGGTTTAACCCCAGCTGGCAACTAAGCACCATCACTCGCTCACTCCTCCCCAGGTGGGATGGGGAGAGAATCAGAAGAGTAAGAGTGAGAAAACTCGTGGGATGAGATAAAGGCAGTTTAATAGTGTCCTGGTTTCGCTGGAATGGAATCACAGAATCAATTTTCTGTTCAGAAGTAACAGAAAGTAACAGATTTCTAAAGTAAGCTGCATTTTTAAGAAGACTGCAGCACCTGATTTGGTGAGAACAAAGTTGATAAGAGACTGTTTTAGCTTGTAGCCAGCATGGTATGCAGGTATCCGTAGGGATCTGGAACTTTTCAACGTGTCTTTGCTAACGACCCTGATGTCCAAGCACCTGATGGGAGCAAGGCCAGGGCAACTGACACCTCAATAGGCAAATGGGTATTCCATACCATGTAACGTCACGCTCACTATAAATTACAAAGTTTGTTGGGGATGGTCTCTCTTTCTCAATGGTTGCTGTCCCTGGAGGGTCTCATCTGTCATTCTGCTCCCAAGGCTTACTCTCTCTCTTCTGGGATTGTGGTTTCAGGATTTTCCTGCTCCAGGATCGCTGTCTGGGAATGGGCTGCATATTGGTCAAGGGGTGGTGAGCAATTGCACCATACAGCACTTGTCTGTATATATTATTATTACTGTCATTATTATTTTCCGTTGTATTTTATTTCAATTATTAAATAGTTCTTATCTCAACCCATGGTCTTCCTTCCTTTTCCCAATTCCCCTTCTCAAGTGGGGAGGGGTTGTTGGGTAATAGAACAGCTGGCTATTCTTTAGCCTTGGATACAGGCTAAAGGTAGACAAATAGGCAAAGCAAAGCCATACACCAAGCAAAGCGAAACAAGGAATTAATTCACCACTTCCCATGGCAGGCAGGTGCTCAGCCATCTCCAGGAAAGCAGGGCTCCATCACAAGTAACAGTTACTTGGGAAGACAAAAGCCATCACTCCAAACATCCACCCCCTTCCTTCTTCTTCCCCCAGCTTTATATGCCAAGCATGACGTCATGTCGTGTGGAATATCCCTTTGGTCGGCTGGGATCAGCTGTCCCAGCTGTGTCCCCTCCCAACTCCTTGTGCACCCCCAGCCTGCTCGCTGGTGGGGTGGGGTGAGAAGCAGCAAAGGCCTTGACTCTGTGTAAGCACTGCTCAGCAGTAACGAAAACATCCCTGTGTTATCTACACTGTTTTCAGCACAAATCCAAAACAGCCCCATACCAGCTACTGTGAAGAAAATGAACTCTATCCCAGCCAATCCAGCACAGTCACATATGTCACAAATGAATTCTTCTCCACTCCATTTTTCCTACAAGATTCTGTGGACATTTAGATCACTCGTGTGATTATAATAGCATTTATCAAGGAGATGGAATTCACATGAGGTAAGTCACATCTCAGATAAGCTTTCATATGTTTTACCACTGCCCTTGCAGACACTTAGCTAGTTTCCACATGTACAGCCAAAATTGTCACATGTTAAATAGAAAAAGAACCGCTGTTTGGACAAACGTTTGCTTCATGGTAGAGGTTAAGCTTTGCAAGTACCAGGGCTCCAGGAACAACTGGTGAATCTAAATTACAGATCTGACAGATGGCAAGCTTCACCAGGGACTACCTGT